GGTTTGGGGAAATTGGCATGAAAATGTTTAGATTTATTACATTTTTTTAAATAATATATATAATTTTGGGAATTGGAGGAGCCTTAGTTCTTTTTTTTTTGGAGGAAGGGGGGGATCCAATTTATCAAATTTTTAACCCAGCCTCCACTAACTAACCATGGTTTTAACAAAACGTTTGGGAGGGCCAAAGACCCCACCAATATACTTGACTCTACCCCTCGTACTCACCCTCAAGATCTAGGCATAACGGTTGGGCTGGACCTAGGCTCAGACTTAAATGCATTATATTGATATAAAGGCAAAGTTTATCCCATAAACATGTCTACTGACGTGCCATCAAATTGGAGCCTAGATCAGCTGACCACAAAATTTCATGTGTACACATCTACAGCCTAGCGCTGAAAACATCTAATATCTTATTTATTGTTGTCATTCAGGAGATATTTCCAAATTCCAATATACATTGTTAATATGGCCAGAATTTTGTGATCAGCAGATGAATGCTCAGTTGCTCACCAAATTGATCCTTCTCCAGGCGTAATGGGATATGCTCCTCACACTATCCACATCACACTGGGTGTTGAAAACATCTGGAGGTGGAGATTATACGTATAAAGTAAGGGAGATGTTACTGGATTTGCTTCTCACAGAATGTGCCTCACACGCACATCCTATTATGCATTGGGAACATTTCCCATACTTTTAAGTTATTATTCATGGGTGATGTTGCCAATTCATGGTGAATGTGCATGTGAAGCGCCCAAGCGTGAGGAGCAGATTTCGTCTCCTGAAACATATTGTGAAATTGGTGTGAGTAGCACTTAGTGAGAGCAGATCCAGACTCCTTATTTGGCAAACATCGCATTGGTAACGTTTTCAAACATCTCATCAATTTCATTTGTCACAACATGCAAAAGTGTCACGGGGCTATGTGTTGGGGCCCCATGTGGCACTCGTTAGTCAACGAGTAAGCCTATGAAGCCAATAAGAAAGCAACAAAGTAACAACAAATGCACACAAATTAGACAAAAGGCTATTTGTATTGCATAAATTAGTGGTAAGCACAAACACACTGTTTAGTGTCGAGGGGATATTGTACTTAACCTTTACACGCTAATGATTCACTCAACTACCTATTAGGGGTGTTCACGGGTCGAGTTGGGTCGGTTTATTGGGGTTTTCCCAACCGACCCGACCTGGTCGGGTTACTTGAGGTGGAAACCGAAACCGACCACTGATAGGCCAGACCGACCTGCTCGGTTTGAGTCAGGTTGGGTCGGTTTTGGTTTTGCTCCTGTACAAAATGACACCTAATTGAATTCTAATTGTAACTGCCTAATGGGTTGCCTATTTGGTGTAAAAGATTATAGAAAGTTAGAAACTATGATAGATTGCCTATTCTAATTGTAATTACTTAATGGGCCTTCTAGTTATAGTTAAGTAGGAAACTATTCAAACTATGAACTACCGAACTTCGGGTCGGGTTGGTTTCAGTTTTCACACAATAAAATCGAAACCAACCTGATATATCGGTTTATATATTTTCCCAACCCGAAACCGACCGATACTGATGAAAACCAAGCCGACTCGAATTGGGTCGGTCCGGGTTAGTCGGTTTGGTCGGGTTGGACATTCTTATGAACAGCCCTACTATCTACCTCCCTTCAAATAGTACGTTAAACTTTTGAGAAAATGATAAAATGATACATCAAAATACTGAATATTCATACTACTATTTACATAATTACCGTTAACATACCCCATTACAAAATAGTACAATGACCCAATCCAAGATGGCGTGCTTGATGAGGATGATGGTGGTGGCTGATCAGTCACAAAAGGGCACTCCGCACTCTTCATGTTACATTTATTTGTTTTTGCATTTATATTTGATCTCACGTCATCACTTGTGTCGATGATTTGACTATAGCCTTGGCTTGTAGTCATACTTATTTTCCGATTTCTACAGTTTTCAAAGAGGCTATGTCAGCATAAATGCTTAAAATGCGTTTATGACAACGCAACGGTCTTCAGATTTCAAAACTTGGGCCGATTTTTTTTGTAATTGTCAAAACAAAATATTAATGTCTTTCTATTATACAAACTCTTCTACTAGGTGACGTGGCATGGCTTTATTGGTTCTAAACATAAAATTAAGAGACATTCAAATAATCTCTAAAAAAACAATCAATAGTTCAACATACCGATAAAAGGCATTGACAATCACATTCAGAGAAAAATCAATGAATTGGATCTGGTACGGGTCAGGAAATATCCGGTTTTGAACCAATAAATAAATGTGCAGAATTGGTCGTAATTGACGGCTCTACTTTTAACGTGTAATTTATTAATTTGGCAATAAATTTATATGTTTTTTTTAATTGGGAAATTGTCTAAAACTTACTATGAATTTTCAGTATCTCTTTTAAATTCACAATTTTTCAAAATGTCTAAAATTCACCATGTTATTAACTTGACTTAAACAGACCAACGGGTGTTAATATATTACCATTTTAACATCTAGACATGAAAAGAGAAAAAAGTTTAAAAATTATTTTCAAATATAAAATACATAAAAGCATAAAAATTACAAAAAATATAAACAATTATAGAAATTGAAAATAAAATAAAATATATATTTTCAAATTATAGGAACTATAGAAATTAATAAGCAAAATCAGAAAATAAAAATTGTAGAAAAATCACAAAAAATAATAGAAAAACACAGAAATTGTAAATAAATAATAAAAATACAGGAAAATTTATAGATTGTATAAAATAGATAAAATGTAAAAAAAACTGAAATTATAAAAAACATTTGAAATTATAACAAAACACTAAAAATATAAAAAATAAAAAATAAAATTGAAAACTGAAAATGCCAATTTTCCTCTAACTCATCGTTAAGTGGTAATGTGGTCATGAGATTTGTTATTTATGCTAACATGGTCACCTCTCTAAAGAAGCATTAACAGTGCATTAATTGAATGTGAATTTTAGAAAATAAAAACTTACTGATATGGTGAGTTTTAGACATTTTGAAATGTTGTGACGAGTTTAAGATAAATGTTGAAAACTAACGATGAGTTTTAGACAATTTCCTTTAAAAATTACATGAGAAAAACAAATATTGAAAGAGGGATATCTTTGTAAATTGCAGTATGCTGTAATATGCTAACATTCCCACCCAATGACCCAATTATAATGGGAATAAGTAATGCAGCCCCAAACTCTATACAATTGGATTGGTTTGATTCGAATTTTATTAGGTGTACCTATGAGCATTGACAGCAATGTTTTTTATTTTCACATGCATTGCTTAGTAGAGTGTGTTCATGCTCAGGCATTGTGGTTTGGTTGTTACTATAATATCAAGAATATGGGTGGATGTGGTGCTAGTTCTTTTTAAGCAATGGGTATCCTACTAGCTAGATTTACATGATGTGTGGAAAGAGAGGCTGAAGACTTTCCAAGCAGAATTGCAAAATTATTTTTTTTGGAAAGTTCCAGATCTAGGACAACTGAGGCTCAATATTGATGGTAGCTTTTTATACCAGGGATGCTCAGGTTTTGGTGTTATTTTGAGGGACTCATCAGGGATTGTAGTCGCTTCATCTTTTGGTAAAACTACAACCTCCTCCCCCATCTAAGCAGAAGCAATGGTAATTCTCAATAGTTTGAAAATTTTGAATCAGTTCAAGAAAGAAACTGTTATAGTGGAATCAGACTAATTGGCTCTAGTACAAGCGCTGAATTCAAAGAACTTTGAATTGGCTTTGGACCCAAATTTTTTGTGCATGTATATAATTATGTGTACTGGAGGGTTTTGTTATTCATTTTGCTCATGTAAACAGAATTTGCAACAAAATAGTCCATGTAATGGCTAAATAAGATCTAAAAGAGTCTGAGTTGTTTGTCAATGGACCAACGGGGTGGATCCAAAGTTTGGCCAACCAAGACTTAATTAGACCTTAATCCTTGGTTTGTTCTCTTGTTGGTTTGTCTATTATATTATTGCTATCTTTATCAAAAAAAAAAAAAGCTACGAACTCGTGAATTTGATAAATGGATGGTCGTGCCAAACACCACCTCGATTGTTGAGCAATTGACAATGACCCGAGACCCGGGGCCATACACTTTGTTCCCGTGCACCGTCACCCGCCCGTATGGCCGTGATACCCGTACACCCGTATTTGTTTTTAATCCTATTTCTAAATAGTAGTAAATACAACATTTGACAACTTTCGGGTTAACCCAAAAAAGCTGCAAATGGAGTCAAAAGGTAAGGGAAATACTATTCGTACTTGCCATGCCAACCTGGAGCTAACAAGTAGAACCTCAACAGCTCAACTGCTCAAGTAGTTCGGATAACGGAAAGGAATGATACGTAAAAACCTGATCACCGATCAACCGGTATCATAAAATTGGCAACCGATCAACTACCATTCATCAAAATTAATAAGGGAGTGTTTGATGGATCCCATACTCTCAGTGTTTGATCGATCAAAGTTTTTACGGTATGGCATCTTTCTGGCACCGCAGAAATTGCCTTGAAAATCTTTTTATTCTTAATTATCATTAGAAAAAGAATAGAAAAGAAAGAAAGAAATGTCTCAGTTGAGTTTCTGACACTTCACCCACCTGCCAAGTAACCCGAAAAAAACAGCCCGAGCAGAACTTTCGGGTTCCGGTCGACGCCAAACCTATAGACTGTAGCAGTAGCGGGCCGGACACGAAACGCCAGGGTTCGGGTCGCAAACAACAACAACAACTCTTGACTCTAGTCGTCAGTCGATCGACATCACCCGCTAGAAGCCTAAAACAAGAAAGAACAAGCAAACTGTAATTCTCTCTTTTCTCTTCTCTGCTGATGAAGCCACGAGACCGAAATGATGAATAACAGGTGCGGTTGCCGTCTTTAGTTTTTTTTTTTTTTTTACAGCAAGTATAAAAGGGTCTCCCACAAGGCCCATGCGCCTTTCCCTCCACATTCCGCTTGTCCGGACCCCTGACCTGCAATACCTCTCTCTCCTTTCTAGTTCTCCACCTCCATGCGTGTCATGGTTGCCACGTGTCTTCTTTAGTGGAGATATATAAAAGCCAACCAAGGTTGCAGGTCTAAGGCTGTCTCTTTTTCAGTCCACTTCGTTCATCTCTTTTTCTCTCTCCATGTGAAGGAAAAAGAGAGATATGATCTAACTCCTATGTGTTTCTCCAATTTCTGCAGAACGACCATTCAACTCTAGAGCGAGTATCTCTACTCGTACTTTTACCGCTTTTTTTTTTCCTCTCTTTGATTTCTTTTCTTTCGTTCTCGCAACTCTATTTCGACTGCCGTAATTCGATTATTATTTTTGGTAGAGATCTGTTCGCCTTGTAATCGGTTTGATCTGGAAGGAGTTCCGGTGAAAAGTTACCGGTTTGGATCCGATCCAGGCAGCAGCAGCGCCCGAAGATGGCGCTGTTCAGAAGGTTGTTTTATCGGAAGCCACCCGATCGGCTTCTGGAGATCTCCGAGAGAGTTTATGGTATGTGTTTTGCTCTTTTCTTCTCTGTTCAGTAAGATCACCAAACTTATGTGTTTTTGGGAATCCCTGGTCTTCTAGAAAGGAAGTGCTGCTAATTACTTCCAAATGGTCATTACTCAATGTTGGTCCCGGCTATCCGGGGCGTATAATTGCGTTTTTATACGCTTTTTTATTCTCCTTTGTGTTTCGGGATTCGCTTGCTGGAATTTTTGATATTCGGTGTAGAAAATGAAGAGACATTTTTTCATCCGTAAAATGTTCAAATATTCCCACAGTATTTTGGGTAGTACTGGAGTAGAGTTGTTGGAGTTTGCTTGTATTGGCAATTCTTGCTATATTACATTTTCTGTGTAATTGTTGGAGATTCCAAGATTCGGTAAGGAGGATAAGTGAAGACGTTTATGGACTTAAAGGGGGATTCTGGGATGCTATTGAGTTCTTTATGCTGTCATCACTACAGGAAAAGGCTCTGGTGAATCACTGGGAAATTTAAGATTTGTGCTAAATTCACCGGACTTTTTGAACTGTAAATGTTATTGTTATTTATTTACTTATTTAATCTGCATTTGGATGCTAGCTTTTGGTGTTTTTTCATAGTAATTAAAAATTTTGACATTTGGCATGGAAGGATTTGGTATGCAGATTTGTTAATCATTTTATTTGTGTTGAAGAAACATACAGGCCTTTTTGTTTCGCTCCCGACTGCAAAAAATGAAAAGGAAAAAATAACTCTATCCTTTAGATCCACTTTTAGACTTTCAATATTTGAAAATATTATTTTTTTTCATTTTCTACCTTATATATATATATTGTAGATTTTGGAGACATATTTTGCTATAATATAAATCAAATTCTGGCTGTTGGTGATTTTTGTGCCACAGTATTTGACTGTTGCTTCTCAACGGATGTTCCGGAAGAGGATGAGTACAAGGTTTACATAAGTGGGATTGTAGCACAGTTACAAGACCAGTTCCCTGATGCCTCATTCATGGTATTTAACTTCAGGGAGGGAGAAAGGAGGAGCCAAATTTCAGACATACTGTCTCAGTATGCCATGACTGTTATGGATTACCCTCGGCAATATGAAGGATGTCCTCTATTACCATTGGAAATGATCCACCACTTCTTGCGTTCAAGTGAGAGCTGGTTGTCATTGGAAGGGCAACAGAATGTGCTTCTGATGCACTGTGAGAGAGGAGGATGGCCTGTTCTTGCCTTTATGCTTGCAGGTCTCCTATTATACAGAAAACAGTACACTGGGGAACAGAAGACTCTGGAAATGGTGTACAAGCAAGCTCCTAGGGAACTCCTCCATCTGTTGTCTCCTTTAAACCCACAACCTTCACATTTGAGATATCTCCAATACATCTCCAGAAGAAGCCTTGGGTCAGATTTGCCTCCATTAGATACACCACTGACATTGGATTGTCTTATTCTTAGAGTCCTTCCCATGTTCACTGGGGGAGGGGGTTGCAGGCCTGCAGTTCGTGTTTATGGTCAAGACCCTTCAGCTGTAAACAGCAGAAGCTCAACAATTTTATTTTCAACTTCAAAGACAAAGAAACACATTCGCCACTACCGACAGGTCATTCTGTTTTTACATATCTGAAAACTGAATTTTAGATCTCCTTGGAGTTCTAAGAGTTCTGGTGTGCAACTGCAGGCAGATTGTGCTCTTGTGAAACTAGGTATTCATTGTCGTGTTCAAGGGGATGTGGTTCTCGAGTGCATCCATTTGGACGATGATCTCTTACGCGAGGAGATGATGTTCAGAATTATGTTCAACACAGCGTTTATCCGATCAAATATATTGATGCTCAACCGTGATGAAGTTGATATTCTATGGGATGCTAAGGACCAATTTCCAAAGGACTTCAAGGCAGAGGTAGGTGGTTGTTTTTCTTCCATGGGATTGTTCTTTCCCTGAAATGTAGGGATTGAATCCATACTTATTTCTGAATCAGGTACTCTTTTCGGACACTGATGCAGTTGGGTCTAATATCACAACAGGAGGGTTAAATGAAGATGGGAATGAAACAGAAGGTACAACAGAGGAGTTCTACGAGGTGGAGGAGATTTTTAGCAATGTAGATGGGCAGGATGGGAAAGGCGATTCTTACATGCATGGAGCTCAAGAAAGTGCATTTGATGATGCCAATCACAAACAGGATGGAGAGGCAGAGTTTACTGTTCGAACTGTTGAATCATTGAAAGCCAAGAGTTACAAACAAGAAAAAAAGTATGATTCTAATGTGCACAAAATTCAGGACAGAATCTTGAATGATGGGATGCAAAAGTCAGAGGTTGTGGCAGTGGCTGCTGATGTCCAGAGCAAATTAGAAACCAAAGCAGTAGTTACTGATGCACAGAGCAAATTAGAAACCAAAGCACTGACTACTAATGTGCCTTGTAAATTGGTAGAAATGGATAAAAAAGAGAGCACAGAGAACATTGATGCCCGAAAGAAGTCAGATTCCAAAGTTCCTCAGCAAAAGCCTGAAAAATTACTGCCACCCATATTAAAGAAGCAACCAACTTCATACACAAAACCAGCTTCAGGTCCAGTTGCAGCTAAACAAAAGACCAAACAGAAAGAACCTGAGAACACCTTTGTAAAACAGGCAAAATCAAAGACAGTTTCTCGATGGATCCCCCCAAGCAACAGTTCATATACTAATCCCATGCGTGTAATATCTCATCCTCCATCAAGATATAACAGTGCACCAGCTGCTCTAGAGATTGCAGCCCTTTCAAATGATTGTAGTGCAGGTGAAACTAATGTTGTTCCATCTGTTACTGCTAGTGCTGAGGTTGTGGTCCCATCTGATGATCCTCCTGAATCATCTGTTGAATTTCATGAAGTTGATTCTGTCATACCTTCAGAATCCATGGATAATGCACCTAGTCCCTATCTATCATCATCATTACCTCCCCCTCACCCTCCTCCTCCACCTATACGGGATTCAATTAGGTCCTTTAATCCATCCCCATCTCCACCACCATGTCCTCCAACTCTGAATTCTGGGGTGATTCCTCAAGGATCAAGTCCTTCTCCCATGAGAAACATAATTGGATCAACTGCTGCTCCTCCACCACCACCACCACCACCACCTCCTCCTCCCCTTAGACAAAGTGTTGTTAGAATGGCTGCCCCTCCACCTCC